CTTGACCACCTTCCCGGTCTTGGGGGCTAAGCCAGAGAAACTGCCCTCAGCGTCAGACTCGGAAGTGAACCCTTAGGAGTGAATCAGCAAGTCAGAAAAGCTTACAACATTTCGATCATAACTCTACAACATCCCAAAGGGTTTGACATTTCCTGGTTCTGTCATGAACATGTCATGGTTGGCTTATAGACAGTGACTTAGGACAGCACAATGACTGTCTCGTATTCTTCAATAAAGAACAATGTGTTTATTTCTTAGTAGCAATGCTGCTTTCTTATATAGTAAAAATGTTGAAATATAAAATACGGATTTCTGGGTCTGCTCCGGGATTTCTGTTTGGAGTGTGTGTGAGTGTAAGTGACTGATGTCCACTGCCAAGATGATGCCTGGTAATAGCTCAGCCTGCCTTCAGCGTGAGGACTACGAGGTCTGTGTCGGTGCATCTGGAAGGGCTGCCAAGGAATCTGGAGGACCGTTGTTATCAGGGAATCCAGCCTGTCTGGCCCCAGACAATTAGTATAATTTGTCTTAGCTAGCTTTACCTATGTAAATAATTCTTGCTACAGATAAATTGTTAAGATTAGTGAGTACAGTAAAAATTTGGAAGTAATTTAAAAGCCAGGTGTCTATTATTCTAAAACGAACAACTGTTGCATAAAATCTCAACTTGCTATTATTGCACACAACAGGACTGCTAGAGCTGTAATATGAAAACCAATTTTAAGTACCTAAACACATGATGGCTCCTGACATGCCTTTTACTTCCATTCCTTTTGACTTTTCCACACTTTAAAATCAGATCCCAAGGTCTTAATTCACCTGATGCTGAAAAATATGATGTTTATATGCATATTGTATAGCCCTCTGTTTTGGGTAGTTTCTTGATCAATTTCTGATATTTAAGTAAGACAGATTTTCAAAAAGAAATGAGAGGGCGTGGTGGGTTGCCAAACTCCTGGAAGATAGTGTCTTATTATTATTTTTTTTTAATCAGCAAATGGAATGTCTTGCTAATTATCCATTCCGGGTCTAGTCAAAGCCGTGTGATTAAGCAGAAGAACTACAGATTGGGGTGGGCATTTGACTTAGCAATTAAGACACTGTGGTGTGTCTGCATTCCACATTGAAGAACTGGGTTTGACACATGGCCCTAGCTCCCAACTTCAGTTTCTTGTTAACATAGGTCCTGAGAGCAGCCATGATGGCTCAGGAAACTGGGTCCCTACCACCCACACGGGAGACTTAGATTGCATGCCCGGCTCCAAGTTTTGGCTATTGTGGGGAATTAATCAGAAGACAGGATTTCTCAGTCTACCGGTTTCTCAAATAAACAAGCACACAAACTAATGAGCTCTGAAGGTGTTCATGTGACTTAGATACAAGATTACTCTAAGCAATACATGAAGAGGGTTGGAATTGTGGTGCAGTAGGTTAAGCTATCAGCTGCGGGGCCAGCATCCCACGTCCATATGCTAGTTTGCACCCTCGCTTCCAGTGCAGCACTCTGTTCATGTGCTTGTGAAGGCAGCAGAAGATGGCCTCAGCTTGGGTCCTTACCACCCACATGGGAGATCCAGATAGAACGGTTAACTCCTGGCTTCTGTGCATACCTGGCCAAGCCTCTGTGGTCACTTAGGGATTAAACCAGCAGACAGTGGGTTCTCTCTTTCTCTCCTTCTGTCTAATAAATACGTTTTTAAAAGTTCATGGGAAAATGAAATTAAAAGGTAAATTTTTAATTGTGTGAAAAAAAATGCACAGCCACGCATATTTTCCCAGTCATTTCCCTGAATTTTTTGAAACACCCTCATATTTATTAGAGTAAAAACAGGGATGAGGAAGAGTCTTCTGTTTGACATGGTTGCTTAATTTGTAGATTCATATGTGTCTGAGATACATGGTTATGTAGGGCTAAACTATAATCAACTTTCCATGTAGTCATGGGGCTTCATGCTAGGCGTAACCCTTTCAACCGTGTGAGGCTGGCAGTGGTAGGAACTTGGGGAACCTGTGTGAATTGCAGGTGAAAGAAGAATGTAGGTGGATTCCTGGTTGCAGTTTGTATTTGGATATTTCCTAGCCTGAGTTGTTTTTTATTAAACTGTCCTACTCCAGAGAGCCCACAGACACTGTATCAGCTTGACTTCTCTTTATTCTCACCATCTTTAGGGGGCTGTATCTTTTGAAGAAGCACATGGGTATTCCTATGGTTGTTAACACGGAACTTCCCTGTTTTTGCTGAGATCTCTAAATTTCAAGTGCTCTTTCTTTGTAATCTTTTTACAAGGTGGCGTGTGAGTTGGTCAATGGACTCAGAATCATGCCTCTCTGTACTATGAATTCTGCTATTCCTTACGTTTTAAAAATAGTTCCTTATTTATTTGAAAGGCTAAACTACAGAGAGGGAGAGGCAGAAGTCTTCCATCTGCTTGTTCACTCCCCAAATAAGTACAATGACTGGGACTGAGTCAGGCTGAAGCCCTGCCACGTGAGTGCAAAAGCCCAAGGCTTGGATCACACTCTGCTACTTCTTAAGGCCCCCGGCAGGGGCTGGTTTGGAATTGGAGTAACAGGGACTCAAATTGGCGCCGTTATGGGATGCTAGCATTGCAGGCAGCGCTTAACGCACTACGCCACAGCACTGGCTCCTCTGATGTTCCTAATTAAAAAGAATCACTGAGACCTCATTAGGAAGACTCGTAGAGTTGTCTTCATTCTCTGAGTTCAGTTATTTATACAGGAGACATAGCTCCTGTAAGACGTGATGGTGGCAGAAATGATCAAGGCTTGAGTAATTAGCGCTTAATGTGTTTACATGTACTGCTCTAGACAATGTTTGACTTCATATAGCTATTAGTTGGATTAAATAGCTATTAATTATATGAAGCTCTCTGAGGATAGGTCAAAGGAGAATTAGATATAGATCCTGACTTTCAAGTAGCTAGCGGTCCTAAACTTTAATGCAGGAGTCAGGGCCAATAGAACACCATGGCAATCCAGAGGGGAGGAAGGGGCCCTGGAATGCGGTGCACTTGCTCGAGACAGGAGCACACGAACTGGGCCGAAGCGCTGCTGTGATTCGGTCACAGGGAACCAGACAGCAGAAGGCTGTTTGGATTTAGACCGAATTTCAGTGTGTTCCCTAAAACACTTTGCATGGGCTAAGTGACGTTATCTGTTTCTGTGGGATTTCTTCCTTTCTTTTTCTCCCCCTGCCAAAACACATCAGGAATGAGATTAGGCTGCCTCATTCTCAGGGCCAGGACCCCTCTGGCCCACACGCATGCTGAGGAATTTCACACAGCCTGTAGGTAGCCTGTCCTTAGCTAGCCTGGAAGCCCCCTAAAGCCTAACACTGCCTTGCCAATGTCAGGTAATTAATGCTGCCCCTCAGTGTCAAAAACTAGATTTGGTTTCTTTAGGTATAAGTTCAACTTCCAGAGAAATAATGAACAAAATTGGAAAAGAATTCATCGACTTGTGTTTCTTTGGTTTTGGCTATTCTTTCTGGACAGTTTTCTGATTTGGAATCCTCTGCCCCCTTCTCCCCTCCCCGCTCCAACATTGTCTTGTTGGGTTGTGATGTGTTGTTGGGTACAGTTACCTCATTCGGCAAATATGTAAAGAGCTTGTGCAGTGTGGGGGGCCCTCTGCTGCAAACTGAATCTAGGGTGAAGCAGACCCTTGTGGGCTTATTCCTGAATCCCCTGGCAAATTTTGGTCATGATCCCCACCCTAGTACAAAGGCAAATGCAGAGCCAGCAGCAGCAGAAGGAGTAAGAAGATCTCTGACACAAAGGAGGGAGGAACATTCCTCACTTCAGGCCAAACACAGCAACCCCACCAAGTGAGCTTTTTTTGCCCTGTTTTTCTTTGGGAGTCTAAAAGACAGCTGCACACAACAGAAACAAAACCAGACTGGAACTTTGGAGCTAGCCAGGGTACCTTCTCTTCAAGGATTAAGGAGAAGTTTTTGTAGCTGTAAAAAAAAAAATTTTTTTTTCTCCCTCCTCTTGCCTCTTTGCATGGCTATGTAATTTCCTCCTTTGATTTCTGGGCAGAAAGTCAGCATTCCAACAAGATGTGTTTTAATTGATTGCAGCTATTAAATCCCTTGGCTTACTTGCATATGGTGCAGGACATAATAGCCACATAGAGTTTTGAATTAAATCATATATTTTTTTCTTGATATAGGAAATTTGACCAAGGCGTTGGAAAGAAGAGTGAAGGGTCAGTGCTTAACTTGCACTTTCTTTACAAATTGAAGACAAGAACCTAAAGTTTCATCAGTATGAGTATCTTTGGTCCCATTAAGTTACCAAACTGGCACCCTAATTTCTAAATTGGTGGGTGTTGCCTTTGGGCAGTCCGACTCTGTTGGGAACCACTAGAGGATTAGGAAAGCCACTTGCAGCCAGGCCTGCTCCTAGCACCTTTTGTTATATCCTACCCTAGGCCGCCCTGTAGAACCTAACATTTCTTTTTTTTAAGATGATGAGGATTTGAGAGCATGGCCAGGATGTTAACACATCCTCATCCAGCATATTTTTATTACTGCCTGGAAAATGTTTAAGTAACATTGTTTTAAATGAAAAGCACATGGAATCCTCTGGCATCAGGCTGTCTCTAGACATGGCCACTCTGTTCTGATCCACATACACAGAGCCTAAATCTGCAAGAGGAGAATTCAAAAATGTTGGGAGTGGAGAAAAAGAGGGTACTGACAAACATTTATGTTTGCATTTCAGATTTTACCTTTGCATGGAGAAAACTCTGCTAGACCACTATGTTTTTGGCTGCTAGTTTAGTTCGGTTTATTTCATCCCTGGGTAGGAAAGGAGCAAAGGTTTCTCTCCTGGCTATTTTTTCATGTAGTGGCCCTGCCCAACTCAGCTCTGTTCTGAAGGGGACTATGTGTCCAGCCAGCCTAGACAGCACTCCCCACTCCCCCGCACTCTGCCACCCTGTCCACTTGGCCGCACCCTTCTCTGGTCACTTACCTCACTCTCCTCGGCAGGCGGGGGAGGGACCTCCTTGATTATCTGAAAAGAAAAAAAGAACAGTTCCATGAAAAGCTGTGGCTACCTGTGTTCTAATTCTTAGTTGTGATTACTGTAATTCCATATAGTGAAACATTTCTCCCTGTAAGTGGCTATAATGCAAATTGATTGATCGATTGATTGATTCAGTATTTCCTGTACCAAATCCTTCTTCACCCATGCATCCAATCATCCACACATTTAATTAGACAGCATCACATGATGGAAGGCAAGATGTAAGACGGCGATGAGCTAGGAATGTCACGTCCTTTAACTGTCATTGGCCTCAAAAGGTACCCTTTGAGGGAGAATGTGACAGCTCTGGTTCCATAGAGCATCCTCAACAGAAAGCAGCAAGGGAGTGTTTTGAGATGTCTTTCAGGGCATTGAGGTTTATGGGTTGAAAGAGACGCCTGAGGAACCCTGGGGCAACATCGTAATAGGCAAGGGGAAATGCCACATGGGAAGACAGTGAGTGGCAGTGAGCAGCTCTTCCTTGCTCTTGCCTTCAGCATGTACACTCCTCTCTTAGAAGGAAAGTCCTGGGCATCAATTTGACTTAGAGTCTCTCACATGTCTCTTTGGGCATTGTCTACTGTGACTCCACTACGACTTTGTGAGTGTTCTTTCCCTACCCCCTAAACTTATTATTTGAATTTTGGCTCCCAACATAAAGTACTTTTTCTTCCTTCCTTCCTTCCTTCCTTCCTTCCTTCCTTCCTTCCTTCCTTCCTTCCTTCCTTCCTTCCTTCCTTCCTTCCTTCCTTCCTTCCTTCCTTTCTTTCTTTCTTTCTTTCTTTCTTTCTTTCTTTCTTTCTTTCTTTCTTTCTTTCTTTCTTTCTTTCTTTCTCTTTCTTCCTTCCTTTCTTTCTCTCTCTCTCTCCCTCCCTCCCTCCCTCTCTTTTTCTTCTTTTCTTTTTCTCTTTCTCTCTTTTTCCCTTCCCTTCCTTTCCCTTCCCTTCCCTTCCCTTCCCTTCCCTTCCCTTCCCTTCCCTTCCCTTCCCTTCCCTTCCCCCCAGCAAGCCCAAGAGCTCGTATCACATCCCTGACTCTTGCAATGTCATGTCCGCCCCTTTGCAGGTGAGTGCTCAGGCACTGCCCACAGGACTGCTACTTTAATCCTCCACCTGGTGAGTGTGGCTGCACAGCTGCTGTCAAGCTCCATCCCACTTCTTCCTAGCAAGCCACTGTGTTCTCTGATTTGATGATCTGTTTGGGACCTTGTCAGGACTCCAAGTCCCACACTGTCGCTCTCCCCACCATGATCTGTATCATCATCCCTGTATGCAGAGACAGGATGTTGCCTGAGTTTCTACTACCCGCAGCCAGGGGCCAACACTCCAGTCATCTGAAGCATAGCATTTACTGCACTGTAGAGGCAGAGGTGAGGATTCCTGCCTATCATTTCTCCTGTCTTCACTTCCTGTTGCCCTTGGAATCCTGGTGAAGGTCAAAAGTCTCTGGGAGGGAGGCAGTCCAGGCCCTGCTCACTCAGTCTACTCTGATTCAGATCTGCTGCAAGCAATCCCTGGAGAGGAGGGCCCTCACCATACAGTAATGGCTTCTCATCATCCAAGAAGGGGCGCATTACTTTAAAACAGGAAGTGTTAGAAATTGGAGGGAGGAGCAAGGCACTGGGGAAAGAGATTTGAAATGCATTCCTTCCCCTAGGATAGTAGGGAGCAGGTTGTTTGGGAACACAGGTGGGTGCTGATGAGGCTGGTGTGGGCATGCAAGGACCGTGGGTATGAAGAGCTGTGGTACAGGCCAGCTGCTATTTTGTCTTCCCTCCCTGCACATCAACACAAAATTGGGGGCCAGTTGCCCTGCCCTCTCCTGACCAGATTTGCACAGTCCTTGACCTTCCTGAGCAATAGTGTCATCATCCGTCAAAGGGAGCAAGAACAGTGTCCCTGCAGGAGCCGAGCCAGGACGAGCAGTCATGGTTTCTGATGTGAGAGAGGCCCAGTAGGCCTCTTAGGAGGCGCCTTTCCTTTTCCACCTGCCTGCCTCTTGCCTTCATTCTTGAATCAGGTCTGGGATATTGTCGATGGTGGTTTCTAGAGGGAGATGCAAAGGAGCCAGGGACTCACCAAGGGAGTGAGACAGGAGGCTACTGTCCGAGCAGTGACCAGGGGGCCTGAGTGTGTATGAGCTGCCACCTATGACACTCGCAATGAAAACGACCCTTCCTCTCTGGGGTTGTTGTATGCTTGAACTTACTGGGAATTTGTTGATATCTAGTCTACATCCTGCAATGCACCAGACTCAGAGGGGAGTCCAAAGACAGTTCCTGAACCCAAATGTATTAGTTATCAATCAAAGGGGAGCTAGTTTATAATCTAGATTCTCCAATGCTGCATTGAGCTTCTGGAAGGACACCACCAGGTTCAGGACACCACTAGGTCTTCTAACCTGGCCTTAGGCACTGGGTTCCAGGTTGAGTACAGAAGAATAAGGACAAAGTATTTCCTCTGCTTCAATCTCAGGCACCACCAGCTGGCCATGGTGGGTAGAGAGCAGCTTTCCTCAGAAGAGTAAGAGAGCTTTTTAAAAAGTGTGATACGGATAGGTTCATTTTCAAGTCAAGAGATGATTCTTCCTTGAAAATCTTAGTGAGGTTGGGTGGGTTGCCTCATAATGGGTCAAGTCCATGTCCAAAGGCCAGCATACACGGGCCAGCCAGCTGGAGAAGTGCTCTAGTAAATGTAATCAAACTAAAAAAAATTACTAACAGTTTCCCAATGAATCAAAATAAATTCAAGTTTTCACATGCATGTTTCAGTTTGTTGCTGGAAATGTAGCTAGAAAAGACAAGAAGTTAAGATGTGGTTAGTGAGACTGGCATTGTGGCACAGCAGAGTAAGTTGGTAATGTATAGTGGATTGTTGATTTGAGTCCCATCTGCTCTGGTTTTGATCTAGCTCCTTGCTAATACACTTGGGAAGGCAGCAGAAGATTGCCCAAGTCCTCAAACCAATGGTATCCATTTGGGAGACTGGGCTGCAGCTCCTAGCTCTTGGTTTGGCCTGATCCAGCCTAAGCACTCTCTGTTGTGATCTTTTGGGGAGTGAATCAATGGATGGAAGATCTCTATCTCTCCTCTTTTCTCTGTTAATTTGCCTTTCACATAAATAAAAATGAAAAAAAGAGGAAATCAGTGTGGCATGAATAGAGCAACAAGGAAGCAGTTCATTGCCTTTTTAATATCTGCAAAGTTTAAGGATTTCAGTTTATAAGGCAAGTTCAACCACTGGGTTTCTGTAACACGCTCTCAAAAGATTATTTTACGAATCATTAAGGTGAAGTGAGGCATTTAGTGAATTTATTTTGCTTTTTATTTTTTCTTCTCTGCGAGTATTGACATTTTGTTCCTACATTACAGGTTTTAGTTATTGCCACTTTGTCCTTGCTAACAAAGCAATGGAGCACAAAATGCATTTCATTCAGATTTTCACATGAGGACTGCTTCCTCCTGTAGGTGACAGCCATATAAGCTCCCTGGCATCCACTTAAGTCCTGATGCAGGTCAACATGCTGCAGGGGTTCACTGGCCTGGCTAACAGGGACCCCCTGTTTTGTCTCTATTATCTTGTCGAGAAACCTTTCACCTCACCTTTCTCATCCTTTCAAGTCTCTGCTCTAAGACAAAAATTGGCTTTCATGTGAACTGTGTAAGCTCCTGTCTGTGGCATGAGAAGCAGGAGAAAACAGAGGAACAGGTTTATTCTTGAACTATGTTCAGTGTCTCTGTGTCCTTTTTGCACAAGTAGCTTCCTCTTGCCACAAAAAAAGACACATCCCTGACAGACACACAGGCAACTCTGATGTCTAGACAAAATCCAGGAGAGGAGTTCAGTAACTTATGATCAGTGCTCCAGGATTGTGGGTTCTGTATCTGAGAATTCAACCAACAACACATCAAAAATATGTAGCATTTACAGTGTATAATGCATTGTAGGTTATCTACTAGTCATGTAAAGTATGCAGGAGGAGGTACCCAGGTTACATGTCAATCCTGTAACCCTTTATGTAAACTGAACATCAAAGATTTTGGTGTTTATACAAGTCTGGAAACTGATCTTTTGTGGATACTGAACAGCACCTGTACTCTATTAATAAAACTAGGCACTACTCTTCTAGTTTTAATTAGCTCATGGCATATCAGAATCTTGCAAAGGGATTCTTAAAACCTGCTTCTGGGCTAGAACCCCGAGTTTCTTGTTAGCAGGGATATAGGGCAGGGTACTTGCATTGTTAGCAGGTTCCCAAATGATGCTTAACCTGCTTGTCTGTGGATCACTATTTGAAGGATTGTTTGAGTAGTCTATCAATCCTATACTTTAGTCAAGTGGCAAGTATAGCATTCTATGAGTGCCATCATACATGCAGAATTACCAGATTTGAAAATGTCTCATTCCAAAAATTACAGAGACTTTGTTCTGTTCATGGGAATGCTGATTCTCTAGAGCTTCCACTGTGTCCTGTGTCAAGGGAGACGGAGAATTGTTTGGGAGGAGATGCTCTGTTCTGCTTGCAGCCGTTATGTACCTCCTCTGGTAAGCATCTGTGCTCATCTGCCTACGGAGCTGGTGATGGCCTGAATTCTGGATCCAGCCCTGAAGCAGCCCCAGTCAGATGGTTCCCTGGTGTTTAGAGGAAATAGAACATATCTTTCACTGTTTGTACTCCTGGCAGTTAACTCACTGGACTGTAATGGCATGTATTTCTTCTGCAATGGTTGCTTAGTTTTTGATTTCTTGGCACACAGTTCAGTGCTTGCTACTTAGTCCCTATTTGTGGAAGAGTTTGTGTAACTATAAAGGAAGAGACAAAAGAAGTACTTCTGATCGTTTTAACTTACTTTGCTATTCAGATCAGCACATACGTAACACACGATTCAACTTTGGGTTCTCAATCTTCCACATGATTATTTCTTTGGTAATTAATACACTGATGGTCTCCACTATCAAGAGTGAGTTGTAACACTAGGATGCATCAGG